CTGCACCCACATCCCCACGGCTACTGCTGCTCTGATAGTGTGAGAAGGCCTGAAAGGTGTGGAGCAGCCTTGTGCCAGAGATGTTTAAGCATTGATTTGTTTTTACCCCTTGGACCCGTCTGTGCCTTGTAACTCCAAGGTCTCCTCTTTCCCTGCCTTTTCCAGACAGGTTTATCTTTACAGCATCAAATCCAAGCATCTTAGTCAAATTGTGCTGCTGTCAGCAGAGGAAGGGGGGCTTGCGTTGGTTCCCCCTTCCTAAGACACCTCTCCTGGGGTGCAGCAATTCCCATCTGCTGAGCAGGGTCCGGGAGGGAGCCCAGTGCTGTGATTTGTAGGGAAACCCAGCTCTCCCTTTTCACGTTGACGTACAAATCCCCATCTCATTCAACCACCTGACTCCTGGAACTGGGCCCCGAGAAAGGAACGGAGAAACCCTTGCAAATCCCAGCTGCCTCCCAGCGAGCCCGGCTCTGCTGTGCGATATCCCTGTTGCACATCCCAAACGCTGCAGCTGGGCAGGAGCCGCAGCCCATCCCAGGATCCCGCCGCACAGCTGGCTGCGATCTCGCTGCCTTCCCTTGCAGAAAGGCTTTCCTACCATGTCAACAGGAACAGCTGGCTGAGGAAATGCAAATTGAAGCTCCAGTGCTGAGCAGCTGACACCGCTGCAGGCGGCCGCCGCGCAGAGCTGTGTGTGGCTGGAGCCGGCCGGGCACTGAGCTCGGCGCAACAGGGGCACTGCAGGGACCTGGGTAGAGATGAGGGATGGGCCATGGGGGCTCCCCAGGGCTGCTTTGGAACTTTCTCCCTGTTCATTTAAAGAAGAAAATGCCATTTTTTGTTTGTATGGAAAAAGCAAACTTATCGCTAAGCCAAAAATACGGCACCGCAAAGGGAAAGCAGCCCGGGGCACGCTGCCCACCACCATCCCCACCCACTGTTGTTCTGCAGGAGCTGGGGGGCTCTACCGCTGCCCCCAACCTGCTGTGCAGCATTGCAGCACCCTGGTGCGCATCTGTCCCTGCACCCGCTCTTATCTGCTGCTGCTCAAACCTGCCCTGCAGCATTGTAAGAGTTCCCTTCCATTCATGTCTCTGCTTCCCCACCCCTCCTGCTCTGCTTTCTAGCACAAAGTGCCCTCAAGCTCTGCAGCTTTTCCAGCATGTTTTTCCCTCCTGGTGTCCCCTTTGTGCCCCCCCCCTCATGCAGAGCACAGCCCCGGCTGTGGGTGGGCAGGAAGCTGGGAGCTGCCCAGGGACCCGCGTCCAGCTTTGGCTTTCCCGAGCAGAGGCCAAGAGCATTAAAGCCCACACCATAAGTAAACAGTGCAGAAATTACAGGTCCAGGGTTGGGTCATGAGCTTTGCTCTTTTGGTTTCTTGTGAGGAAGATATCCCTGGGATGCTTCCGGCTGGAAGGTTCATGGAGGGGGAGCGGAGAGGAGACGTGTTGGGACAGCGATGCCACTGCAGACCCCAGTGCTGTGCTGGTTCTGTTCTGCTCCCACCCTCAGGTTCTCGCTGTTCTGGTGCAAGCTGGGGCGATGCAGAGGGTCTCTCATGTCCCAGACCGCCAGGAGACAGGCAGGCAAAGGCTGTCCCATTTTTGGGATGTTTTCCAGCTGGTTGCTAACAGCCCAACCCACCCGCTTGAGTGTCAGAACGACATCAACTGGTTCACTGAACCCAACTCAATCCCACCGGGCCTCCCGGGCACTTCCTCACCATAACCCCGCAGCTCTGTTTGCTCCTTTATTCCAAAGGAGCAGCAGAGCCCAAACTGGGAATGGGCAAAGTCCGATCGGGGCAGGGGAAACCTGCCCCGTGCTGCGGGGAAATGGCTGGGACCAAAGCGTTCCCACCGGCCACGGTGGCTGATTGCACAGGTAAATAGTGACACTGACCCCAACTAATGCACTAAGTAAATGAATCCCTTTCAGTTAATTGGCTTAAGTGTTACTTGTAGTGAGAGTAAATATTGTACAACGGTGTGGAGGCTTTGCAGTGCAGCCCTGAGCTCTGTGCTGGGGCTGCGCCGAGGAGGAAGGCTCTTGCTGCTGGGGTCAGAGGTGGGATTTTGGCCAGGGAAAGAGTCTGGAGAGAATAAACTGTTGGCAAAGCAACGGTTGAATAGGTCGGTGTCATGGGGTTTGTTATGTGCTGGGGCATCCCAAGGTGTCCCAAACCCGTGTGTGCTGTGTGCAGACTGCGCCTTCCACGTGGAGTCTGCAGCAGGTTATGATGTTTTCCCATAACTGCATCCTTGGAGGGGATGGAGAGGACCCGCACAGATTTGTGTCACTGACCTCTGCAGTGATGCACGTTTCTCGGCGTTGGAAGTGGGCTGAGGGCTGGCGAGGCTCAGCACAACTGCGTGCCAGGGCCAGGGGTATGGCAAGCGATGTGGGAGGTTATGGTGGAGTGAGGTAGCGTTGCCATGTGCTGGATTGCCTGGAACACAGTGAGCTGCTCCTGGGGTGCAGCAGGTTTGGAGCAAGAGGTTATCCGAGGTGGGTTTGAGAGGAAAAGCCCCTTGCTGGGGTTCTTGCTCCGTGTCTGGGGCGGTGGGAGAGCAGGGATATAAGCATAAGGTTGATCTCTGAGGATGCTACGTGTCCTGTTCGGTTGTTCAGAGGATTTCAGCTCTTCTGGGAGAACTTCAGCAGTTTTGTAGGGATGCCCCAAAAGCCCAAAGCTCCTTGGTAGCCCCTTAACCCCGGCTGGTGCTGAGCATCCTCTCTGGGCTTGTTCAGCCTGGAGAAGGCTCTCTAAGGGGAGACCTTAGAGCAGCTCCAGTGCCTAAAGGGGCTCCAGGAAACCTGGAGAGGGGCTGTGGACAAGGGATGTAGGGACAGGCCAAGGGGAATGGCTTTAACCTGCCCGAGGGGAGACTGAGATGAGCTCTTAGGCAGAAGCTCTTCCCTGTGAGGGTGCTGAGGCGCTGGCACAGGGTGCCCAGAGAAGCTGTGGCTGCCCCATCCCTGGCAGTGCTCAAGGCCAGGTTGGACACAGGGGCTTGGAGCAAGCTGCTCTATGGAAGGGGTCCCTGCCCGTGGCAGGGCTTGGAGCTGGAGGAGCTCATTGATGCTGGGCTCAGGACCTGTGACGGTAAAAGAGGGGGGACCCCCCCAAGTGAAGTCAAAACCATCCTGGGGCTGCAGCAGGGCCCTGTTTGCTTGAAGGCTGTTAATAACTCAGACAGTGATGGGGTGTTTAACTTTTAATACAATGTATATTTATTGCAAACAATAATATACAAAAAAAAAAGGTAAGTTTCACAAAGAGAAGGATCTTGCGAACAAAACCGAACAAAACCAAAACTTACCTAAAGACAAAATATGATTTAAATGAGAGGTCTTTTAAGTTACAGAAATACTTTAAAAAGATCTGCTTTTATACAGAAATAGGAAGATGCCATATTATAAGAGTGCTTTAAGATTTTTCTTTCTTCTTCTACTGAATCCCTAAAAAAAAAACAAAAACCAAAAAAAAACCCAACCCAACTGTTAACAAATAAATCATTTTTTTCTTTTTTAAATAAAAAAAAAAAAAGTTTGCTGTCTTTTTTAAAAAGCAATCCTTAACTGTTCAGCCACAGCTTCCCCAGCGTCCCGTCCCCACCTCGCACCAGTTTGAAGGGGGGTGGAAGCCTCGGGTCTCGTCCTTGCCCGAGCTCGTGTGTCCCAGAGAGCTGAGGCAGAAAACAAGGCAAATGATTCAGTGATCCGCTACATTGGCAACCTTTAGTTTGTACAAGTTCCTTTTCTTTTCATTTTTCCAGTTTATCCTTATTAAGAAAAAAAAAAAAAACACCCCAGGAAGAGCACGAGTTTGTACAAACCCAGGACACAGATTCCAGAAACAAAAACTGAATTATAATAATAATAATAAAAAAGAATTAAAGAGATAAATAAAGGACTGGTTACAGTTTAGACCATAATTTAACAGGCACGGTTACCTTCCAAATAATGCTCCCACCAATGCAATCGCTTTTGAAAGGGCTTAAAAATAGGAGATTAAAAAAAGAAAAAGAAAGGAAAAAGGTGATTAAAAACTGCTCTTCTCACAAAATAAATAACTTAAAGTAACTGTGATGTCCCACAAGTAGAGGGGGTCTGGGGTGGTCAGGGCTGAGCAGAGGGGTCGAGCTCAGCCCCTGCCCCAGCATGGGGCCAGGCGAGTGGCACAGGGCTGCGGTTAAGGCTTTCCCCCCGGCACCTCTTGCCGCGGGGTTTGCGAACAGCATCTGTTCCGTTTTCTCTGTCTTAAGGCTCAAGGTTATGGAAAAATAAACGTTAAAAACCAACCTCCTCCCGGCCGGTTTTTTACTATGAGTTAGAAAAATAAAGCCTCTCCCCTGCTCCTCCCTGCACAGGCTCAGCTCCTGCCTCCCGACACCGGCCGCTTCCCAGAGCTTCGGCCCCATGCCTTTTATTCTTAGAGAGAGAAAGAAAGACACTTATCTATACAAAAATACCTCTGGCTGCAAGAAACCCTAGGGCTGCCCCGCTAAGTGTCGGCTTTTAGCTGTTGGAAAAATAAGAGCTTTGCAAACATCTCTAAAAAATAGGTATAAATCCCCTCAAATTGGTAACGAATCATACACAGTACATACTAAAAAATATTTAAAATAGAGATTATTCCTCACAGAGGACTCTGAGTTTTTGCTTTATTTCCCCCCTATTTTTTTTTTCTCCTTTTTTTTTTTTTGTTAATAACTGCTAAAAAAACCTCATTACAAAAGTCCAGAGAACAAGGCAGCTGAGCTGGTTGCAAGTCTCCTCTCTCCTGGAAGCAGAGTTTAAGTCCAGTCCTTGGAAAGTCTGCACCGAGTTTTGCTGGTCCTCGGAGCGGGCTGGCCACTTCCCGGGGGGATGCTGTAGTGCAGAAGCGCTTCCTCCTCCCCGCCAGCTTTAACCTCATTGTCTTTAGTTATTACTTTTAATATCAAAGAAGGAAAAAGTCTGTGGAAGTTCTTTCTCTTGCTGCTTTCGTGCTGGTTTGTGTTGTTTTTTCTCTTCTGAAATATCTTCTTTTGTCTGGTTTTTCTAATGGCTTTTAGGGTCTGGTGAGCTGTGTGTAGACGGGTTGTTCCCAGTGCTGCGGGCTGTGAGTCTGGGGGATGGAGGGGACCCCCGAAGTGTCTGCAATGGGGGTGTACATAGGGCGCTGCGTGGGGTTCATGTAGGTGAAGGTGGAGTAGAGGCTGCTGCTCTGGCCGGCGGCGTGGCTGTAGTAAGAGCTGGAGTTCTGGTGGTCGGTGTAGTCGTACTGGGAGCGGGTGATGGTGGGGTAGGACGAGCTGTAGTGCTGGAGGTTGAAGGAGCTGTAGTTGAGCTGCTGCGGGGAGTGCTGCTGCTGCTCGCTGTAGTGGCTGGGGCTGAGCTGCTCCGTCTTGATGTGTGTCCTCTGCTGCGCCGGGCCCTGCTCGCTGCTCAGCGCCGGCAGCGTGTGCTGCGCTTGCGGCTGTGCCTGCGGCGGCGCCTGCGGCTGCTGCTTGGACATCCACACGTGGCCGGCCCCGGCTTGCGAGCCCGATGTGCTGCTGATGCCGTAGCTGCCGGTGTAGGTGACCTGGCCGGGCTGCCCGTGCGTGGCCGGGACCCCCGGGTGGCCGTTGGGGGGCAGGTATTGATCGAACTCGTTGACGTCGAAGGTCTCGATGTTGGAGATGACGTCGCTGCTGAGCTCGCCGATGTCCACGTCTCGGAAGTCGATGTGGGGCGGCTGCCGGCCGCCTTCTTGCAGGGGGCGGCCCTCGCGCTTCAGGTCCTGCTTGCCCGGCTGCGTGTCCGTCTTGGGGGTGGTGGGGGGCGTCGGGGGGCCCTGTGATTGTCCTGCGGGAGGAAGGAAAGGGCACGGACATGAAGGGGGTGTCGTTCCCATGGTGGCCGGGCAGTGCCTGTGGCTCCCCAAGGCAAGAGGTGCTGCCGGCCGTGATAATGCTGTTAATAGTTAACCTACGGTCTGTGGGGCAGCTGGATAACGACACATGGCTTCCGAAAGCAGTTGTGGAGGGTAACATAAGCATGTCCAGGTGTGAGGAATGCAGATGGGAGCTCTATCAGCCCCCAGCTATTGCACCGGGTAAAATGACTGAGCACTCTGACGTGAGCCATGGCAGCAGGGTTATCTTCTGGGTTATACTGTTATAAGTATGGGTTCTCGTTTCGCATAAGCAGAGGGGGTGGAAGTTGCTGCAGGCACTGGCACCCATGGGTGTGCATTGGTGCACCTGTGCTATGGGCAAGGCTCAGTTCTGCCCCTCTCTTGGCACAGCCATCCCCTTCTCACTGTATTTCTGCATCTCTCTTCCCCCCCTCATACCCAGTCCTAATCCCAGCATAGTTTAGGATCAACTTTACTTTAGGTAGCTGTGATTCCCCCCCCCCCCAACTGTTCATGGGTACCTACCCGAGTGCTCCCCGGGTGAATGCACCTCGCTGATGCTGGAGGATGACTGTGGGGAGTCTGCCTGCAGCGCCTTGAAGATGGCGTTGGGGGAGATGTGGGTTTGCTCCGTGCCCTCCTCCTGCTCCGACTGCCCGTTCTTCACCGACTTCCTCCGCCGCGGCTGGTACTTGTAGTCGGGATGGTCCTTCTTGTGCTGCACCCGCAGCCGCTCAGCCTCCTCCACGAAGGGACGTTTCTCGCTCTCATTCAGCAGCCTGGAGGGTACATAGGAGATGAGGGATCAGTTGCAGCTCTAGGGGGGCATTAGCAACTCCCCCCCGCTATGACATTAACAGCAGCCCAAAGCTCTTCTCTCGATTCCCCGTAATGCAAAGTCCCTTGTAATGCTGAACCCGGTGTCTGGGGCACATGCTCGCTGTCACCCCCCTCTTGCTCCCTGTAAAATAGGGTCAGTGGCCGTAGAGGATGCTCAGCAAGGTCCATCCCTTGCCTCCGGCCACCCCTGTGGGGACACAGTCCTGTCCCTGGGGTGGTTTAGCTGCCGCTTCACTTTCTGCTCTGCTCCTTCCCCTAGTTTAGGATTCCCCCCCTCCTCTGCAGTCTCAGAGCAGCAGGCAGCCAGGTGACTCACTTCCCTGCTGGTTTGCTCCCCTCCCTGCCTTATTTTGGCAGTCGGAGGGCACCCAGCCATGCACCACTCATCCCCCCCCACCCCCGCGGGGCTCACCCTGCGCTCGGTTCCCCCCATCCCTCTTCTCCTCCGGGCCGAGCTGATGCAATCCCCAAACCCCTCATTTCCTCCGGCCAAGCGCACAAACAAACACGCACCGAGGCTGGCCTGGCCTGGGAGGGGACGGGACCTGCCATTCCCCCCGCCTCGTTCCCTCGGGCATTGCTCAGGGGAAAGAAACCACCAGCAAACCCCGACGGGGCAACCACTTTCCCTACTCCCCCCCCCCCCCCACCCCGTTCCTGTGGCTTCTCCCACGCCCTGCAAGTTTGCCAGCGCATGCAGAAGTTTTCCGCGAGTTTTCCAGGCTTGAGCCCATCCTTTTCCTCCTGCCCATTCCCGCAGCAACCCCCTCCCTTCCCCAGCGCTCACCTCCAGAGCTTGCCCAGGGTCTTGCTGAGCTCGGCGTTGTGCAGGTGCGGGTACTGGTCCGCCAGCTTCCTGCGGGCCGCCTGCGCCCACACCATGAAGGCGTTCATGGGCCGCTTGACGTGCGGTTTGTTCTTGCTGGATCCGTTCACCCGGACCGGCATCGGCACCAGGGTCCAGTCGTAGCCCTTGAGCACCTGGCTCACCGCCTCCCGGATGCACACCGGGAACTTGTCCTCGTCGCTCTCCTTCTTCAGGTCCGGATCGCCCTTAGGGAAGGTGTTTTCTTGGGGTCTGGTGTTCTCCGTATCCGAGCCGGATCCGGAGGGACAGGGGGACCCGGCGGAGTCGTCCGACATGGTGGGGCTGGGGGCGTCGGAGATGCATTTGTCCTGTTCTTCTGTCATCTTCATGAAGGGGTCTAGGAGATTCATGCGAGAAAGTGGCCGAGGGGGAGGACAGGGGGTGAAAAAATGAAAACTTAAAAACCAAAAAAAAAAGTAAAATCAGGTGGCTGCGGGGCAGGGAGGGGTTAAAAAAGGGAAGTGGGGAGAAGCGAAACCTCCGGCAGCGCGCAGCGGAGGGGGAAAGCTGGAAAAAAGTTTGCGAAAGTTTTTTATTCTTATTATTTTCCCCTAGCCCTCAGAGAACGAAACCCAAAAAACCAAAACTCCAAACGCCCGGAGGCGGGCGGAGAAACTCCTGCAAACTGCAGGGGAGAAAAGACGGGAGGAGGAAAAGAAAAAACCCCGGCGTGGCGAGAGCCCGGGGCCGGCCGTGGGCAGCGCGGGGCCGGGGGCGGCTGTCGGGGGGCGGCTCGGGGCCGGGCTGGCCGTGGCCGTGCAGCGGTGCCGATCGCGCCCCGCCGGTCTCCAGCGCGGCTCTGCGGCCCGCGCCGCGCCGCGGGAATAAATACTCTGCGCGGTGATTTCGGCCCGGGAGCGCTCCGCCAATGGGCGGCCGGCCCCCGGGGGCTGGCGCGCATCCCATTGGCTGAGCCGCCACCGCGGGGCGGGGCCGGCGGGCGCTCAGCGCCGCTCCGCTGCGCGCAGGGGCGGCTGCAGGAGGGCGGCCCCGGTAGCGGCGGAGCGGAGCCGGGGGGGGGGCGGGCGCCTTGCGCGGGTGCGGGGCTCTGAAGGAGCCCGCGGCCACCCCGCGGCCACCGCGGGGCCCTGGCGCCGCTCCGCGCCCCGCCGCGGTGTTCCCGGGGGGCTGCGGGGTGGGGTTGGGCGGACGCGGAGCGCGGCGGCTGCGGCCGGAGCCCCGCGGCCCGGAGCGGGAGCCGCGGGCAGTGCGCGCCACCATCCAGAGGGGGCGCCAAAGGCCCAGGAACGGCGCGGCGGGGGCGGGGCGCGATGCGCGCACCGGGAAAGGGGGGGGGGGGGGATCCGCGCCCGCGCCCCTCCGCGGGGCCGTGGGGCTGTGTGGGGGGGGGTGCGTGTACCGAAAGCACCCCCAAAGTCACTTTTTGCCTTGTGTCCCGCGCTCTGGTTCCCCGTCTAACGTTGTTCCGTCGGACCGGGCCCCCCCGCCGCATCGCTCCCTCGCTCTGCAGCGCCGTCGGGCCGGCGCTGGGCAGGGGTACGGGAGGTGCCCCCCACTTCCCCTTTCGTTTCCCCCTAACGTTCTGCCGAGCACACCAACTCTTGCCATGGAACCAGAGCAACCAAACCAGCCCTGGGAGCTTTCCAGGGTTCTCTTGGAGCGCTGCAAAGCAGATCGAGCAGTAACAAGCGTTTTATTAGCGAGTTGCTGCTCCAAGGAGTTGGTGTCGGGGGGAGCCGGGAGGCGATAACTGTTTGGGTTTGAAGCAGAAGGGGATCTTGGTGTGAGAGTGACCCAGATCCAGCGCAGGAGCGTGCGAAGGCAGCCCGGGTGTGCAAAGCGAGCTGCTGTCCTGCACGCTGGGCTCTGTGAGCGTGTTTCGGGGGGGAGAAACCTTCAAGCAGGTCTCCCTTTCCCAAATCTGCAGCCCGTAAGCTTTTATTTGAGCGTTAAAAAGTTGGTGCTTTATCGGAGCTGCTTTTGAGTTGCTGCTTGAATTCGGAGCCTTTGTCCTGGTGGAGAGACCTCGGGGCCCTGGTGTGGATCCCGTGTCACAACTGTCACCGTTGCGTTAATAAAAGTGTTGGAAAGGTGTTGGAAATGGCACGTGAAAAAGGTTGAAAAAGAAGGGAAAAGGCAGCGGGGGCAGGAGCTCTCAATAAAGGCATTTGAAAGCAATTTCCCTGCTCGCCTTTGCTGCCTTACCCTGAGATTTGAACGTCTGTTTTTGCTTGTAAGCCTTTGGGAAGTAGTTGTTTTGGGTGAGTTTAAAGGTAAGTGCCTGTCCTCTTTCCAGAGCCTTTGTCTGTAAGAACAGGGGGATTTTTCTGCGTGAGCATTTGGGGTTTCTCGTGCCTGCAGCACCAAAAACGCTTTCTCACAGCTTTATGTCTTTGCTGCGTGCATGGTACAGTAGAAGATAGGCTGAATTCTGTGTTGCTGTTTGCAGTGATAAAGGTAAACTTAGCCCAGATGTTAAAGGAGATAACTTTGAAATGTTTTCCCTTGGCAGTTTTAGCTCTAGGCTGGAGCACGAGTTGAATTTAGCTCAACAAATCTCTTTTAATAAATGTGTTTGTTATAGGAGCATCAAAGAAAACTGGGGCAGTAGATTGTCCTTATCTCAGCTGGAGTAAAAACCCGAACAAATATACCTGGAGGAGAAAAATACGGTGACAGCAGCCTTGTCCCGTGGTTTTCCTGCGGATTGGCAGAGAGAAACACAGGAACAATTTGGGGGGGGGGGGGGTAATAGATTTAATGAAAAGTGTAGCAATTAGGACATTTTTCACTCTGAGAGCCCGTCTGCTGCATGGGACTCTGCCTTCTCGCGACAAAGGAGGCTGCTTTAACAAAAGAAAGTGGTTTGACAAGTTCGAGCACTAAACAAGAGGGACGTGGAAAAGAGCTTCCCAGTTGTGTTATCACACAGCCGTTTATACCTTCTGCCTTGTTACTGTCAATTCCTGTTCCTGGGACTGTTCAGGCGACATGGACAAGTTGATTAATCCCCGTTGGTTTGCAAGGTCAGGAGTTTGCCTTTACAGTGAGAAGCTGCCGCTGCCTTTACATCAGGCTGGAAGTTTGCTTTTGAAAGATTTAACGTTGTTTTATCGTCAGTGGCCAACCCGGGTCTCAGGAAAGGTTTGGAGTGAGAACGGTGAGGATTGTAGCCCGTGTTTGATGCTTTTTCCTGCCTTGTGTTAAATCACGGCGTTTTAGGAAACAGTCTGTGCAAGCGTCTGAGCAGAGGGGGAAGGAGTTTGGGAAGCAAAGGTGGGGTTTTTCCCTCGAACCTTACAAGCAGGGCACTGATGTGCATCAGGTCTGTTGTGCTGGAATAAATTGCGTTTTAGTGATGTTTTGTGGGAGCTGGGGAGGTTGATTCAGGTCTCCCATTGATCTGGACTCACTTTGCTCTTTCCTAAAGCCGATGTGCCTCTCCTCCTCAGCCGAGGGATGGCTGTTTGATGGGTGCTGGTGTCACTAGGGAGGCTGTGATGTCACCGCATCCCTTTGACCTCAGTCCAGCACAGATCAGTCTCCCTCGGTCCATGGGAACCCCAGGGAGATGCTGATGCTGCCTCCCCATCCATCGGAATGCCGCCTCCCCATGCTTCGGGATGCTCTCCCTGCTGGTGTTTACAGCGGTGCCAAGCGGGGGCAAACCAGCAAGATTTGGGTTGTAGTGGGATTCTCTAAAAAAACCCACCAAAACAACAACCAAGACCTTCCCACATCAGATCCCTTAATTTTGATATCAAAACTGTACAGATGATTTTATGATGGCACAAAATGCAAATGCCAGATGTGATTGTGCCTTTAAATTTATCTATGAGCGTCTGGTTTTAGACGGTGGCCATCCCTGTGGTCAACACTGAGCATGTTCACGTGCAGTGCATGATATTAGTGTTTTAGTTAATGCATCTCCATCACTTTTTTTTCAGTTGTGCTTGGGGCTCCAGGGCAGGGATCCTGCATCTTTCCCATTTAGGTACTACTGTAATTGCTGTTTCTTTCCCATCTCAGAAGTTACTGATGCAGGAGCTTGTGCTTTGGTTATAGGGTGACCTGCCCAAGGGCTGTAGGACCACAGTCCCTGGGACATGAGGTCAATGTTAAGCCCCTTCCTGGTCTAGTCAAAGGCGCCCCTGAATGTGGCAGGGGATTGGAACTGGATGAGCTTTAAGATCATTTGCAACCCAAACCCGTCTGTGATTCCATGATTCCAAGGTGGCCTGTATTGCCAGGGCGGACTTGAGCCGTTCTGGAGGTGACTGGGGCTGTTAGACAAGTCTGCCCTGGCCTCCCAGCCTTGCACAGAGCAGTGCTCCTGTCTCTTTCTGTACTATAGGTATTTATTTTTCAAGAGCCTTCACATTCCAACGTGTCTTTATCAGAAGGTCATTGTACAGTTAAGATAAAAAAGAGAGAGAGCAGTAGCTGGTTGGTGATGTACTGGGGACAGAATTATCATTTGTCCTATAAATTCCGCTAAGAATTCCTTGATTTTGTGTAGTCACATCACTGTATTGATCAGAAAGAAGCAGTTTTTGGGCCTGTCGTGGTCGTACACCAGCGGCCACAGCTTGAGCTGGAGACAACACCATGTGTTGATTTAAGCTTGGGAAGTGCTGACCTGGGAGTGGGTGAGAAAGCTGGAGGACGGGTGGTTCCCCCCCCCATTTTTGCTGTGTAAGGAAACAGGGAGCCTGAAGACTCTGAGGCAAGTGCCTGGAGGAGATTTGCTTTTGCGGCGCTTTAATTCAAGCCTAAAACCACCCTCGTGATGGACTCGCTGTGTAGAATAAAGTGAAAGAAATGCAGAATTTCAGGAGAACGATCTCGGTGCTGCTGTAAAATGATGCTGGTTCTTTACAGGGGCTGAGCTGGGTGGCAGCCTTAATTCGACCATGTCTGTTTTAGCTATTAAATCACTGCACACTCACTGTGGCTGGTGAAATAGCATCACTTGAAACAGCGTCGTGATTTACCTCTTACAAAACAGTCCTGGGAACATGAAGGTGCTGGGGGCCAAATCCTGCTGGGGGTGATTTGGGTTGCGTATGGTGGTAAAGGCGTTGGGGGGGTTTAGATTGGAGAAACGGCTTTTTCCCCGTGGAAAAAAAAATGGAAAATGCTAAAAAACTTAGAAAAGGAGAGGGGGAAAACCGGGGATTTTAAACTTTGCTGGGAATAGCGGTGCTGATGGGCAGCTCCCCGGTTTGCTGAGCTGCTCCCCACAGGAAAATCCAGTGAGGGATTTATTCCCGTTCACGTTCTGGAGTCGGAGCTCTGCTCTGCGCAGCACCGGAGGAGCTTTAACACTCCCTGGCTCCAGCGCAGGCTCCACCATAGGAACAGAACCTCGCCGTCCTTCTCTGCTCTTTCTCCCACAGCTGGAAACCACCGCGCACAAGCTTGTACTTCACAAATGCTCTTTTTCTGGAGATCAAAGCCATACAAGCTGTTTTGGGGGCTTATTTATATTTATTTCTTTATTTGCTCGCAGCGTTTGGC